ACAGAGATAAAATAACCAGCAATGCAAGATTTAAAAAAGACCAGCACATTAAAAACAACCCTAAAATCCTGGGAGAGCAAAGGGGCCAGGCCTAATGCCAAGCCAGTCACAAAGCAGCCAGTTTATCCAGAAAGGGCATTCCAGAGCCAGTGGAAGAAGCTCCCTCCTCAGCTGCTGCCTACATCACCTTATTTGGCGGGAACACCCAGCGAAGGGCCTCCGAGGGTGAATTTAGGGCTCCGGCAGGAGATGGTCCTTTGGGTGACCGGATTGCAAGCCAGGAAGGGCTTTGCAGGTAAATGCCAGCAGCCTGAATTGGGCCTGGCAGCAGGCAGACCAGCCAGCTGGCCACCAGTGTGGACCACGAAGCGCCGGAGCCACGTGCTCCTTAGAAACGTAGAAATAGAGTGAGTCAGAAGGGGTCTCCCGGGCCATCTAGTCTGCCCCCACAGCTCCAGCTGGCTCCGCTCACAACATGCCCTCCTTGTGGCCAGCCCCACTAGCGACCTCCCTGCCCTGTTTCGGAGCAGCCAAGGTGTCTGGGCCGGGTGCAAGGGCGCTCCCGCGCATAACACACCGCCCTGGGCCAGGTGACAGGCTGCCAGTGCACGGAGGCCAGAAAGCCGCAGCCAGCGTGCCAGCCTCCGCTGATCAGTGCCACTCCGTGCCACCGGCCCCATCCCTGCCTCCTGTGACAGAGTTGCTCCTGCCTCAGTCTGGACTGAATTCACTTTATTGCCACACACCCAATGCATTAGCACATCCAAGGCCTTGTTCAGCGCAGCCACAGCTCAACTGGATTTGATGAAAAGCAGTGATACAATTGGGCGTCATCCACCCACATCTGATAACCTCTCACGTGAGAGCGTAAGAGCAGCCCTGCTGGGCCAAACCAGGTCCGCCTAGGCCAGCACTCCGTGCTCGTGATGGCGAACCGGCTGCCCGTGGTGTCCCTCACGCAGGAAGGGTGCAAGAGCTCCTCAGTTCGAGCTCCTGTCCGTGTGCAGGCATGCCCCCCGGCCCCCCAGTCAAGGAGGGAGCCCAGACTGGCAAGGCGAGTAGCCCTGATCACCTCCCCCTCCCCCCTGAATCTGCCCAGTCTCCCTGTGGAGCCATCCCGATTGGCAGCCACCTGCACTTCCCACAGCGGCAAATCCCACAGTTTTGGGACAGCGTGCAAAGAAGCGCCTCCTTTTCGCTGCTCTAAACCTCCCACCAGCCTCCCCCTCCTTTCTCCGCACCGAGCATCCTTTCAAACGCTCGGTCTGGCGTGTCTCCCCTTCCTGTCTTCCTGCGCCGAGCACCCCCCGTCGCCGTAGCCCCTCCTCATGGGGGGCTGCAGCCCCCCATCATTCCTGTTGCCCCCTCAGTGCTCAGCAATGCCCTTCCAGGCCAGGCCGCCAGAACGGAGCACAATGCTGCGAGCGTGGTCCCCCCGAGAGGCACAGAAGGGAACCGTTTCTCTTTTCTCCTCCACTTCCGATTATGCCCGTCTGGCGCTTGCCTCCTTCGCAGCGGCTGCGCGCTGGTCGGCATCTCGGCTGAGCTGCCCCCTCCATCCCAAGACCCCTCTCTGGCTCAGCCGCTGCCGGTTCAGGTCCCATCAGGGTATCCTGGACGTCGGGATTCGTTGCCCCAACACGAGTTATTCTGCACTTGCTTAAACTGAACCGCTTGTGCTGTTCCGATGCCCCTTCTCCTGGTTTGGGAGATCCCTTTGAAGCAACAGTGCCAGAAGTCACTCACTGAGCTACTGAGAAAGAGCAGAAGACACAAACAACCAGCACTGTCACTCATGGTGCAATTAGATCTAAGCTGAAAGGAAGCCTAGTAGCTAACATGCACACAAGTGCATGAAAAATCTGATGCTACGTAAGTTTATTAATTTATAATTTAGCTATTTATCCTATATATTCATTTTATTATGTATGTATTTATTTAAAACATGTATATGCCGCCTGTCTCGCCCATGGCCTCCCTAGGCGGCTAACAGTCACTATTACTATTCAATTATTTAGTGTATTTTATTGTAAGCCATCCCGAGACGCTAGTGGTGGACAGGTTAGAAAAGCTTTTCATAAATAAATAAATAAATAAATAAATAAATAAATAAATACTATTACTAGTTGTGTTTATTACTATTAATTTTATTGATACAATTGTTTTATTGTTGATTTTACTGTGTTTGATTGTATGTAAGCCACCCAGGGAAGCCTATGGTTAATCAGGCAGCATATAAATCAAATTAATAAACAAATAAAAAACACATACAGTTGGAACACAGAATGCCAGAAGTATGAACCAAGGCAAACTGGAAACTGTAACATAAGGAATGGAGTGGCTAAACATTGCAGAACTTGGGAGTGAGGGAACTAGAGTGGACTGGGACATTTTCTGACAGACAAACACGAAGTGTTTTACTCTGGAAACAACTAACTCAAAGTAAATGGAGTTGCCATAATTTGAAGACAAGAGGGAACATGGGCAGTAGGAGCTACAATGCAAGATCGGACTGAATAATATCAATCAGAATTAATTGCAAACCTATCAGCATCACCATTTCAAGTCTATGCTCGAACAACAGATGCTGACAAAGATGAAATGGAAAACTTTTATGCAGATTTCCAAGATGAAATTGATGGCCTTCATGGTCCCTTCCAACTTTACCATTGTATGATTCTGTGAAATGTTCAGTATGCAAAATGCTTTTGCAAAAATACTTGGCCCCTCTCTCCTCTCCCTGCCTGTTTGCAGAAGCAGGCGGGACTCCTCTGCCCCCATCCCCGCAGGCGCCCGGTCGTCCTCGCACAGGTGCACCGCCTTCAACTTGGCAAGACCTGGAGCGGGGGGGAGAGGCGAGTGGTGTGGCTCCTTGAGCTCTGCTCCACCGCAAAGCAGCCGGAATGGCCAAAGTGCTTGTAGAGGGTCAGGCGGAGGGGGGGCTGTTGGAAGCAACCCTGCAGACCAGGCAAAACAAGGCTGTTACCGTGTTTCCCCGAAAATAAGACTGGGTCTTATATTAAATTTTGCTCCAAAAGACACACTAGGGCTTATTTTCAGGGGATGCCTTATTTTTTCATGTACAGTCTACATTGATTTGTGTACAGAGTCTGCATGTGCTTGGGAGCTGGAGGTTGGGGACCTGGGCCTACCTTCATTGGTTACCAATGACATCCAGGCCCGATTCAAGGAGTCAACATTACTTTGTAAAGCCCTGAATGGCCTGGGACCAGGGTAGCTAAGGGGGTGCCTCTTCCCATGTGTGCCTATCTGGACATTCTCAGAGAGCACCCCCAAAGGGGGTGGCTATGAGGAGCGGTCTCCTCTCAGTGGCGGCACCCCAGCTCTGGAACCAGCTCTCCCAAGGGGCCTGCCTGGCACCTTCTCTCTATTCCTTTTGGTGCCAGGTGAAAGCACCTTCGCTCGTCCAGGACTTTAATAGTTGAACCAATTTTCAAGGGATCTTTTTTACGGGATTTATCATATTTTAGTGCTACCGTGCCTTCAGCTAATTGAATTGTGGCTGTTGTGGCGCTTTCCTGTGTTTTACTCTTGGTATTTTATCGTTGCAGTACATGTGTTTAATGTTATTGCTTTATATGTTGTTGCTATTTTGTAAGCAGCCTAGCGAGTGATCTTGGCTAATGGGCAGGGTAGAAATTTAATGAACAAATAATAGCTTTTTTCCATGGCTTCAAAACTTCTAGAACTTATAAATCTCTAGAGTCAACCCTTAAGAGCACAAGTGCTTTAGGACAAGGACTTGCCTTTTCTGTTTGCCATACCCTCCTGGACAATATGCCAGGCAGCTTCACAGAAGAACTCAGCAGAAGCTATCTCAGAAGTGAGCTCTGTAGCTTAAGGGGTTGGTTTAAAAGTTTCGTAACATACACGTTTGTAAATTCTGAAGTTGAATCTCTCACTGTCCTTGGCTGGATGGGGTGTATGGAGCTCCAAGGTATCAGTGAGCATAAGAAGAACACAGCTCACATGGCGCAGAAATCTTACGGTAGGAACCTTAATTTTCAGTTTCCACTTAGAACCCCTATGTGGTCCTCCAATGCAAGTACAAAAATTAAGACTGATTTATATTCTATTGAATTTATTTGCAAGTGTCTCATCAGACAGACTTCATCTTACTGCTAGCAAGGCCAATCAACATATAATTCAGTACTGAGGCTTCAAGCTGAGAATGTTGGAAAACCAATATACCAAAGAATCAGCTTGTAGTCATATCTTGTGCCTGCAGTTCTTCCCTTCCTGGTCTGGTCACCTCTGATACCAAAAGTTCCATGTCCACACGAGAAAATGTGGAAGGATTTTCAAGGCCAGCTTCCACGTCCCAAGTACGTTGCTGCAGTTTATTGCCTCCTGGATCAGGGAGGGGGGCTTCCCAAGCTCTTCTGGGGCCAAGGGCAACAAGACTCAGTGCCCCTTGCAGGAACAGAGGCATCACCCTCCTTGTTCAGGGGCATCTCTCCAGAGCCGAGCAGAGAGAGCGTTTGCCTGCTGTAAGTCCAAAGACTCCATCTGGAGCCTCTGCTCACCGCTCATGAGCCGTGGCGTGAGCACTGTGGCTCTGGGGCCAGAACCGGCTGCCCAACAAATGCCAACAAAATTTGGTCTCAGCCCACACGTGGGACTGATAGAGGAAGGGATGGAGAACTGGGGTTGCTGGGGAAGTGGTGTGGTGAAGAGCGTGGGTGTGGGACGCAGGCAATCTGGGTTCTATTCCCCACTCAGCCATGGAGCCCACTGGATGACTTTGGGCCAGTCACAGACTCTTAGTTGCACCTACCTCATAGGGCTGTTGTGGGGATAAGTCTGAGAGCAGAAGGGGCATGATGCAAGTCTCTTTGAGTTCTTTAAAACAGAAAAAGGCAGGCTATAAATCGAATGAATGGACAGTGGGCTGCTGGTGGGGGAGGAGTGAGAGGGGCATGAATGCGATAGCAGACTTTTGACCTTCAATTGCCAAAGCAAAAATGGTAGCATCAAACTTGTGGCTAACAGATGAGTTTAATGGCAAGGAGCAAACGACAGTTGTCCTCACTTCTACACCATTCCGTGGCCTCTGTCTTCCTGACAACAAGCAACGCTGGGACCAGATGAAGTGCAGCAGTGGCACCAACTTCCAGGCAAGTGTGCTGGCCAGCAAAGCCCCGCAAAACGAAAAGGCAACCAGAAGAGAACGCCAGGATAGCTCTGGTGTCCGGATTCGCCAAGAGTGGTATGGTTCCCACGCACAGCCTCCAAGCTGCCTGCACGCGTCAGCCAGGCGAGAGGCTGCTGCAGCAGGAAACGGCCCGCTGGGCATGTGCCACTCCGGGAAAGGGGGCCAGCTGGGCTACCTCCGCCCCATGTCGGTGGGCAGAGGGCCTTGCGGGACCTGGACCACCCCTGCCTGGGGGAGCGCAGTCCTCCCGGAGAGCCACTAGGGCAGCCGCTTGCACGACTGCTCAGGAGGTGCTGACGAAGCCGGGCCCCGGGAGGGCAGGCGCCTCCGCGCCTGGGCTGCTCGCCGCCGCCGCTGCCGCCTCGTAGTCAGATATCCTGCGCTGGACGATGGACGGCATGAGCTGGACGTAGGCGGCCATCAGGCGGTGGTTGGAGCGCACCAGCTTGCTCGCGCAGTTGTCCAGGCACGACTCCTGCGGCAGGAAAGGGGCAGCGACGGTGGGCGGGTCCGCCGCGCCGCCCCCCGCCCCCCCCGCCCCGCCGCGCCCCGGAGGCCTCACCTCGTCCCTGGCGAGCGCCCGGTAGTTGAGGTTGGAGACGCAGCGCTGGAAGCACGCCTCCGTCATGCGGTTGTAGACCAGCAGGAAGTCGCGCAGCTGCAACGAGAGGGCGCGCTGAGGGCGACTCGGACCCGGACCCGGACCCGGACCCGGACCCGCCGCCCCCGCCGCCCGCCCCCCCCGCGTCGCCCGCGGGCGCCACTCACGCTGCGGAGCTGCTGCTGCTGCCGCTCCGCCTCCATCTCGCTCTCGTCCTTCCGGCCCGGCCCGGCGCGGCGCCGTGACGTCGCTTCCGGTCTGTCCCGGGGCCCTCGCGCAGCGACGCCGGAGCCTCCGGGCCGGGCCGCTCGGACCGCAGCGCGGCAGGTGGGCGGCGCGGTGCTTCTGC